TGACAACAGTTTACAACTAACAATAATTTTTATAGTTGAGTAATCTGCCAATAATGATTTGATCTATTAAACTTTAAGCTAACAATCACAATTTACCTGAGCCCAAACTGGCATCTTCAGACAAACAGTCCAAAACCTAAAGATCTTTAATATTCTATCACACACTGTAAGACGAGGTACGATAAAGCTGCAAATCCTCCAATGGAAACGCCAGAAACAGCAAAACAATGGCTAAATAATTAATTGATTATGGAAATAGCTGTTTTTAAAGAACCAGTGTGTAGGATTTTGTGGCATCAAGTGATTTCAGTCTCCCCTTCTAAGCTTGTAAGAGAAACTACGGTAGACACGAAACTCGTGGAAAACGTGAAAGGCTCTATCTACAGCCAGTGTGTGGTTTGTCCATTCTGGGCTACTGTAATCAATCAATGCGTAATGCTCAGCGCAGATTATTCCGTTATTGAGTTACTTTATGATCTTTCCATCAGCCTATCGCATCATCTACGCTTTACTCTGTTGTACCTGTTTTGGAAATATCTTAACATGACGCAATCACATGTCAACATTTAGCCATGGAAATAAAAACAAATTCACCCAGAATTCCTCCCAGACCAAGAAAAGACCCAGAATCCAACAGCACTGAGCTGACGACTCCAAATGGACATAAAGGGATCCTTGTACACGTCTTACATCATATGAAATGGTGACCTGTGACCTAAACATGAGACACGTGATTATGACTTCCCGAACCAGGTTCATTCATTCTGACTGAAGACGTAAACCTTTAAAAAAACTCACAAATACATTGTTTTATGTTTTATGAGCTGAGCAGTGTCATTTCTGGCTAACTTTACTCAGACTAGAGTAAATTGTGCATTTCTTTGGGGACTATTTTTCAGCAGCGGATTTATACACATTTAGTGCTCTAGAGAGGATTGACAGTAGCAGGAAGGGTGTATGTGGTATTAACTCATAAACTACAGTGACCATGTTCATGATAATGAAGGAACATGTCACTCAGTGTAACAGTGTAGCTCATTGATGTGCTTTTAATAGTTTTTGGACAATAATGAACCTCCATGACACATATTGGCTACACAGTTTTGGTCTGTTCATGAGATTTGTTGACAGTATAATAATTACATAATTTTAAATGTTTGCATCCTGGAACAAACTAATTAACTTGTATCTTGCATGACAAACATAGTTTTGAAGTTATGCACCAACAGCGACAGACTGATGCATCACAGGCAGGAAATACTTCTGGTCCTCTATCATCTTCCTCCTCGGGGGGTGAAAGAAAAGAGGGGCAGCTGATTCTGTGCACTGACATCACCCAGCAGCCACCCAGTCAGCATCAAGCACACGAACCAGCAAAGACCCTCTGAACTGTGCTGCCTGATCACAGATTTTTAAGGGTTAGCACAAAACAGCGTTAGCCCCACGGTGCTTTAGAGGACAGCTTGATGGGGAGAAATACGAGATGCCTCACAGAGAAACATACATGAAAGCAGGATATACGTTACCTCTGTCTCGTGGGACTTTCCCCAGTCCTCAGACCTTCACTTAGAAAGAAAAAGTGCCACATCTTAACGATGAAGCAGAACCTGGAGAGTGCTTACACTGCTCTTTAAATGAGTTTCCTCTAGGTTGGCACTAATGTTTCTGCCAATTTGAGGGATTTTAGACATTTTCTTTTGAGTGTATGCTGCAGTGTGCATTTATTACACAAATACACAACTATGGACACTCAGTTTGATTTATCCTGTTAATCGCTACAAACTATATTAATCCTTTACATAAGTGACATTTATTTAGGACATAAATACTTAGATATGTGTGAGAAATACTCCCTCAAACATTTTAAAACTGTATTTTCTTGGCAATATATTTAGCATTTATGGGTACAAATAGTTCTTAAGTGGGTTTTTTTCCTTATTGAAAGACGGAGAAAAATACTCTCAACAACAGAAAAAAGAAAGATGGAGTGAGGTCTAATGTCTAATATAAGATGAAATAAATCAAAAAAAAAAAAAAATGAAACCAAATTTAAATAGAATTTAGCCCAAACAAGGCGTTATGCGAGGGGTTGTAATGTGTTAATGTGTCAATTTTATAAAGAACAATTATTGATATCTATGAGAAAACATGAAAACAGCTCTTAATAATAAACTTGCCGCATCTTTTTCCTTATTCCCACTGTTAACTGGCCAAATGATGACAATTTGATGTCACATTGGGGATAACGGATAAGCAGCTAGTGTATAATAGAGCTTTAATTTTCAGTACATCAGAACCCACAGATTTGCTCTGATGTTTTACACTAATACACAGAAATAGAATAATGTGATGGTTCAATATTATTGACCTCTAGTGTAATCATATCTACATATAAAATGACTGCATCATGTTCCGATTTCAACCAAATTGTGATTAAAAATGAACTAAATTTGTTTTTTACACATGTAATTTAATAAATAAAATCTATATGCGAGTTTGAATACATTTACCATCAATATCTGTATTAATAGAATTATTTCTTATTATTATTTCTATATCTCAAACATTGTGCCCTACATGGAAGAAATCTATTGTAGAAGAGACAAACAGATCAATTTGTCCACTCACAACAGCTCCAATGGACCAGAATGCAATGCAGCGAGACATGAGTATAAACTGTAATCTTCTCTGAACTGGACAATGTCTCTCTGTTATCACACTTCTCTGGTTGCTCCCTCCTGTATATTACCCACAGCTGGATGCATCAAGTTGATTCACACCTCTGCTCTGAGTTAAAGGCACTGTAGGTTGGAGGAGAATACGCAGCACATCACCAAATACATAACAGTAAAAGAGGATACTGGTACAACCTCAAGCTGCCCTTCTATTGTACCCATTCACTGAAAATATCCTTTTTCCTCCTCTCATTTCCTCACATTAGGGCCTCTGGGCTGTTTGCTGCAGTAAGCTGATCCAGTAGTGTCTCATGTTTGATGGTCCAGGCTGTAGCTACACAATTATAGACTGTAGTCACTCAGCCATTCTGCACGGGTGACTTATTGACGGGATATGCCCGTGAATCAGAGCAACTAATTAATTCAGCTGTGATTCAGTCTTTGATTTTTGCCTGTAAGTGTTAAAGGGCAAAGAGAGGACTGGCTGAGTTTAAGCTACAAAGGTCACCAGTTTCCTGTCTCGACATATGAGACAACCAACCAGACTGTGGAGAAAGAGCAAACACACAGTCCCAGTTGTTGGACCTGCTGGTGCTGGAGTCACACCGGCTGTTTCTTTAGAGTCTATTATGAACTATCTGACTGAAATAAAGCTACTCACAGTGTGTGTTTTATTTTTATAATAAAAGAGTCGGTTTAGTTTTTATTTCCAGTTGTTATCACAGAGTCGCCTCGTGTTATGTTACTGAGTTACAGTGATGGAATAATAGTGTAAAAACATCAACAGTGAAAGACTATCCCTCTGTGGGTTTGAAGCTCTGTTAATGCAGAATAGCCTAGAACAACAAAATGATTCAACTGACCCTCGAATATATCTATTGATCTTTATTATTTGTCACTCAGTACTTTTTGTTCCCAGGGGTCACTGCCGTCTGCCTCACTGAACAAACAAAACAGACCAGCTAGTTAGCTAGTTAGCTTGTTGACTTGCTCATATACGACCAGTTTAGACTAAAAGAGATTATGTGGAATATGGACACTTGATAAAAACTGCTTAATAATGAAATTAAAACTAGAATTTCGCAAATTTGATACCACAAAATAACAAAAGGACGTCAGTAAGGTTAACATAATCATCTTAAACTGTGTGAACGGTATCAACTCTAAAACACACTTATTTTTTTACCCATGCATGTAAAAATAAAACAAACACCTACATTAGTACCTACATTTACTACCGATTGATAGTTGTGATGCGACTTGTGATGCTACAGTGATTTCCCGTTTCCATAGGTGACTGCTGTTGATTGGACGGTGCCACCGTTGTATCCTAGCAACCAGATTTACGCATTATTCAAGTCTTTTAAGAGCTAATACATCTTAATTTTTAATGGTTGCGACCACATGCAGTAAATCACTATTTTAAGAGTTTAGGAAGGACTTTGCACACAGACTTACCAATTCTGGACTTCAGGGTGTTACTAATCTAAAATAAAGATTTACAGATGGTGATAATTTGGAGTATTAGTAGTCATGAGGAGTATTTCTCGGTCTGTATAATCTCACCAGGGTTATCTTGTCTTGTTTGGAGGCTTGCTTAATAAATTTGATGTATGGACGTTTGCCAGACTGGGAGGGTCTAATGAAGAGACGCTATCATGTGGCATTATGGGAATGGTCGGATATGGTTTTTTGATGAAGTGCTGGACTGGTACTGTGGATCAAAGGTCGGGATATTTCAGCCTCTACTTCACCCAAATATATAAAGAGTTCCCTTTTCTCTAATATCTGATATCAAAACCTGATCTCTCGCACACTTAAAGGTCCACTGTGTGACATTTAGGAGGATATATTGGCAGAACTGGAATATAATATCCATAGGTATGTTTTCAATTGAATTTAATCAACCGAATATAAGAAATGTTTTCATTAGAATTTATCTACAGACCATCTCCTTCCATGGAGGCGCCATGTTTAACCGCCATGTTTCTATAGTATATCTGTAGATAGGAGCGCAACTACACCTCTAGATGGCACTAAATCCCACACACTGGACCTTTAATGTCAGGAGTGCACAGTTTGTTTGTAATGTAGTCTGTGTAATGCACAGAATTACTGTCTGATCTCTATGATACACACACACACACACACACACTCAGATGTAATTAGATACGAACTCTCAGTGTCCATAATGTCCTTTACTAACAGCTCATCAGATTATCACACATGATAATCCCTCGGACCACATGTCCTTAATCTGACTCCCTGGATTGTGTGTGTGAATGAATGAAGCTACAGACTGGACTCACAGGTTCGAGCTCTCACCTTGTACTTGGCGGTCAGTTGCTCGGTGGCTTCCTGCTCCTTCCTCAGATCTCCCATCATCCTCTCCCTTTCTCCCAGGAGCCTCTGCTTCTCCTCAGCCAACATGAATTGATCCCCTCTGATGGCCTCAGTCTCCATCTCCAACCGCTGCTCCTCCAGCTTCACGTACTCCTCCGCCTCCTTCTCCACCCCCTCCTCTTCCTCACCCTCTGTCTCTTCATCCCCGTCTCGCTCCCAGCCCTCGCCGTCCACCTGCTCCTTCTTCTGTTTGCTCCTCCACTTCCTGTGGTTGAGCTGGGCCCTGAGGCGAGCGATCTCCCTCTGGAACTCACGCAGCAGAGCATCCTTGGGATCCTCGTTGACTCTGGGCTGGTTCTGGATGTTCTTGGCCCGGTTGGCGTAGCGGAGGGTGGTGAGGGTCTCGTCGTAGTGCTGGGGGGCTGGGCCTAAGGTAGCAACCATGACAGTCTTTGCATTCCCCCCCAAAGAGTCCTGCAACAGCCGGGTCAGCTTGGAGTCCCGGTATGGCACGTGGCTGCTGCGCCCGTCTGCCAGAGCTGAGATCACGTTCCCCAGAGCTGACAAGGAAAGGTTGATCTTGGCTGCCTCTTTCAGGCGCTCTCCCTGGACGCCCGTCTTGGCTTGGCGCTCGCTGCCAGCCAGATCAACCAGGTTGAGGCGGCCGACCCGGATGTGTTTCCTCCCATCTGGTCCAGGCTGGCTGCACTCTACTGTGATCAGGAACAGGGCGTGGGACCGAGACGAGTGTTCGTTCATGTCTGTCGCCCCGACGGCTCTCGCCTGGTTGCCCATGTTCATCACCTCCTCGATCTCCTTGATGCTCTTGCAGACACACGAAGTGAGGTCACGCACATACACCCCAGACTCTGGACTCTCCCGGAGCTCCAGGGCTCTGGCGTTGCCGTGGTTGGGATCGAGAAGATCCCGAACCTCTTCTAGATAGATCTCGAGGTAGGACGCCCGCACCAGGTACTGTCTATCAGACTGGGAGCGGGAAATGTGTGTGAAGATGTGGTCGAAAGCGTTGGGAATCACGCCTCGTTTCTCTGGGTCCATCCATGCCCCCTGCATGGTGTACGTCTTCCCAGTTCCGGTCTGCCCATACGCAAATATGGTGCCATTGATCCCTGCGAGAACTGAATCTATCAGCGGCCGCACGCTCTCGTCATAAAGGTCTCGCTGTTTGGAGTTTGCATCATAAACCGCATCGAACGTGAATGTTTTCTGGGGCTCGCTGACTGGCGCTCGAGGGTTTCTCAGGATCACCTGTCCGAGCCGCACGTCCATCTGAATGATGCCCCCTGCAGGCCCATTGGACTCCTCTTTCCGGTTCAAAGGGCGGCATCGAACTACCACCTTCACCGACTCGCTGCTCTTATTCTTTGACATGACTGGCTTTGGTTTCTTGTCGTAATAAAACAAAAAGGACAATTTATACGATATAAATCAAAATGAGCTGGAAACCTTTATGCTGCCTTCAATCCCCTGTCTGTCTGTCAATTGTGTAACCATTGATTTTTTTCTTTTTTCTTTGAACTATTAATAACAAATTCAGTATGGCTTCTTGATCATATCATAAAGGAGCATTGACACCGTGCCTTACAAGACAGACTCCTATAATAACCAGCACAGATGATGAAATGCCACTGTGTGTAATGGCTAATTTCCTCTGCTTATTGTCTGTAACAGCTTACAAATACACGGACGGTCAGCAGCTCTCACGCGTTGGATCGACGCTCCTTTGCAGTCCCGCTACGCGTCCGGATTCACTCGGTGAAAAAGAAATCCAACAATAAAAACATTCAGACATCATTCTTACGTCGTCCTGATTTGCCGGTGGATCCGCTACAGACCGTCTGTCCGCATCCTCCGGTCCTTCCGCTCATTGATGCTCCGAAGTGGATTTGCGGCTCTCGGTGTGCGGGGAGAGACAAGAGCTCCCCTCCTGTATGCAACACACACACACACAGTCATTCAACCACCACACCCCACATCACTGCGGAGCGGAACAGAGGATCATGGGAAATGGAGTTTCGTCTGAGTGTCGAGTGGATCCTTGTCCAAGGCTGCCACCAACTCCTCAACTAGACTCAATGTGGGTTCAGTTTACAAATGTAACTGGAACATTTGTGTCTTTTTATGGTTATAAACATTTTACACTGTTGATTTTTCCCACAATTAGAGACATTTATTTATAACTGATTACTTGTTTTACAAATACAGTATGTAAAGTAATCTATACTCAAAACTTATTTCTTTGCACTGTAACTTGGGACCTGGGATTCAAACATACATCTGAGTTTCTGTGTGAACTTTTTTCACCCACAAACAAATAAAGGTGTAACTGTAAACCTTTTTTGTAACGGAAAATCTCCTTTATGCACTCACACTCTAGAAGTTATTTGTAAAATGTTTTTTTATTTGTTCACATATTGTCTTGCACAGGTACAGATCTTCTTACAAATTGAAAAAATTTAATCTCTTTGCACAGATTTTTTTTTACACATTCACACGTTTATTCACAGATATGTTGATACACAGCTTCTTTTGTCCCTCAAGGAGTCGGTTTGTGTTTGATGATAATATTTTAGCTATCCAGGAACAGCACTTAAACAACACAATGTCAGTTTTATTTCAAGGTGGATTTTAGGTTTAATAACAAGATGTTAATCTGGTTATTCTCTAATGTTTGTCTGGTGGTTGTATTGCAAGAAACCTCAGTTCTGTTTTTTAGTTTTCTATTTGTGTTATTATCTCGTATTGGATCTAAATCTGTCTCTAACTAGAGTATTGCCTTTTATTGATATATGCAGAGCTATAGCTCGAGGTAAAAAAGGCACAGACCTGCAGGCACTGATAATCAAAAATAACCTTCAATATAATCATTAATAACAATGATTTACTCCTGATTGTTGGATGATATTCCCAGTCAGGTGTCAGGTCAGTCAGTTCTTATACAACTAAACAAAGCGGGACAGACTGAGGACTGGGGGCCAAATGCAAAATTAATCATTTGACTTATTTGACCGTTTAAACCTGACACAACAGCGCCACCTGGTGACATAAGTGTGTAACACATTATGACCTGTAGGTGGTCAATGACAGGGAAGGAAATGAGAAATCTGTTTCACTTTCCAGGTGAGATGGAGGAAGTGGCACTGGGGGATAACTGGGGATAACTCTGGGGGTTTCCCGTTACATCTGCCAACCTTTCCATGCAACCTCTTCCTCTTTCAACTATCTGATCATTTCAATGTTCTGTATTAATGCTGAAGGCCTGACTGACCAGAAAGGGGAAAGACTAAACCACATGGGGAATTCAGCACATATTCCTCTGATGCTAGAAGACTCTTCATAACCTTTAACATGTCCCCCGAACAAGGTGTGTGTTTAATTTGGCTACACAGGCAACAAGAAACAACTGACTGAATATGTGTTTGTTGGGAATTCGTGGAGAAAATTACCCACGCACAACGTTTACAAATCCCCCTGGGCTCAGGTGCTCGTGGTGTCACCTTTTATGAGTCATTCTCAGGGAAGTGTATATGAGTGAGCCATTCATTTCCAAGTGTGTTTCCAAAAGCTACACCTGCTGATGAGCATCAGATGTAACTATTTAGATAAAAATCTAAATATATCAAGAATTTAGTCCTGTTTCCCATTAGACCAGAAAAGGGTTTAGTACTCACACTGTGGCCTGAATGGAAATCTGGACAGAATGGGTGGAAGCTGGTTTATCCCCGTCCCTCTTCCACTCACGGTCAGCAAATTACTGAAATGATTTAACTTGGGAGGGTGGGATTGTATTGAAAATGAAGCCGCATTGTTGCTCTAAATAAAAGCATCTGGCTAATGTTGTCGTATGTATAGAGCTGCAACTAATGATTATTTTCATTAGGGATTAAACTGCTAATTATCTTCTTGAATAATTAATGAATCATTGGTTTATGTGTTGTAAAGGAATGTTTTCTGAGTAGTCAAAAATGGTTTAAGTTGAGTTAAACAATTCAGGTTGAACTGAATGGCCCATTTACATTAAGTCAATAAAGAATAAAACACTATTTTATTAAATTAGGACAACGTGAAACAAGTGATTTGCTCCACCTTCAGAAAATAGTTTGTCCTGAGGCAAAACATACAGGCTTAAGTGAAATTATTTACATTGAGTCTATGTCAGGTATTTCATGTGATTCTTTAGTTTAAACAATGTTTTACTTTTATATAGTCAAAAATTCCCATCATAATTTAATAAATACCAATGTCGTGTCAATTCTGTGATCTAAAATGATTTGCTGACCTTGGAAACAGAGGTTGACAAACCACCAATACGTCCATTTAGTTGTTCTGGAGCTTTTGATCATATCACCTGATACTCCTCAAGCAGATGGAGCCGCCCCGTTGTTATGAAATTGTAGAAAATTTGTAGTAAATTTCATTTTTATCAGCACTTTAAGGAATTATCATCCACATAGTTTTATTATTTTATTATTTAGTCTTTCTTTGTTTTTTCATCATACAAAAAAAACATTGTTACAAACAGATAATCAAAGCATCAGATGTGTAGAGCAGTGGTTCTCAACCTGGGGTCCTTCAGGAGGGTTCCCAGAAATATGTGGAATATTTTATCTATTATTTAATTGACTAAAAGTTAAGATTATTCTGTTCATAGTCTTCACACGCTTCACTGTTAAGCTGCCAATCTATAGTACACACAGTTAGGAGTAACAAAATCTAATCAGACGAGGATCCCTGAGACTACATAGAGTCAGAGTCTGTGTCCTGATGTGTATTAATCCGGATCCTTGATACTAAATAGGTTGAGAACCACTGATGTTGAGAGTAGCTGAAGCTAGTTTACAGCCCACATCCCAGGTTAGACTTTTAAATCGAGAGTAAATAAAACAGAATAAAAACAACAGGACAGATAAAAAGTTTACCATCACAAAGACAAAAAACCAGAACTCTGGAATAAATTGATTGACTAATGGATCAACTTCTTTTAGTTGTAGTATATATTAAATTGGTGAGAGTAGCATTTGGTCGGGTCGTCCCGGTGGCCCAGTGATCAACATGCATACCAGACACTGTCCTGTACTGTTGCTCAGTTCCCAGTTACATGTTTTTCCCCACTCTCTGCCTCTCCTTGTTTCCTGTCACAGTTTCAATCGTCCATTGTTGGTTAAAGGCCCTAAAAAATGCCCCAAAATAAAAACTTTGAAAGCCCATCTGGTTTACTTGTCAAACAGATACATGTGAAGACAGATTTCCTCTTTCAAATGTGCGTAACTATCACTGCCAGAACAGAGTCAGAGTGGTAGCTGCTGGCTGCTTGTGTGAGAGTGTGAGACGAACCCTCGAGGCCCCATGCAGCAAAATACAGGAATGTACGCTGATGTGGGAGGATTTTATTTTCTTGTGTGTTACAACATGATTTACTGGCTTAACACAGGTTACTTAAGTGTTGAAGATGTGGATCAGAGATACAATTAAAATACGGGCTGAAATCAAAATGAAGCTGTTCTTTATTTAGTCTAAAAGAAACTCTGTGAGCTCCATGGAAACTTCTGCTCCGTGTCACCTTTTTAACCTCTGTACCATCTGTTTTAGGATTCGTATTGGATGGTTTGTGTTAAGATGGTTGCAGCTTTTTGGTCACGCTGTCGGCTGTGAACTTTCTACTTTGGTGGAAAAATCTCATCAACCGTTGGATGGATTTTCATCAAATACAATATTCATTGTCCTGTGAGGATCAACATGTTTGGTTTTCCCTTAAGATCTGTATGTACACATGGCATGAAAAAACATCTGTATATATGTGTGATATTCCCATTAGTCTATTTATATTAACAACATTTTTTTTTATAGTTATATATAATATATAGACACCTTATTAGTTTAAATAAAATGTGTATTTTTGTTATTTTTTGTTATTTTTTATGCAAGACTCCTTGAATTAGACTTTTTTAATTTCCTGTTAACAAATAGATCTTATCATGACTGTGATTAGATGATTATGATGTCTCTGGTCATTGTTCTAGATACAGTACATCCCTCATTTCCTTACGATTGCCTGAGGAGGGCCTTTAAACGAGCATGAGGTTTACATTTTTGTTTTTTAGCGAAAATGTCTTGACATCTGGTGGATACGTTACCAACTATTTGATGGCAGTGGTGACAAGTAACTAAGTACATTTAGTCAAGTATGGAACTTAAGTGCACTTTTAAAGGTAGGCTACTTTATTTGAGCATTTCCATCTCCTGCCACTTTATACTTTTTACTCCACTACATTTATCTTACAGCTTTAGTTACTAGCTACTTTGCAGATTCTGATTATGGTATTAATGCAAAAATATAATGAACAAATAAATAAAACTTGATTAAGTTACCTGGCAGTATATTATTCAAAAGTTAGTTCCACTTTTACCAGCTGCAACATTCAATAATAAAGTATATATTTTATCTAAAAAGGACACTTTGACTTTGTCCTGATAATACTTCTACTTATAAAAAGAGTGTATTATTCACTCCTTGTATAGTAAAAGAATGAATACCTCTCTTCTTCCACCACTGGATTACCAGGAACATCTAGTGCCACCATAAGGTCAACACTGTTCATTCCTTCTTTATTCTCTGGCTTAGTTTTCTTTTTCTATCCCTCTTTTCTTTATATCTTTGCTGTCTGTCTTTCTTAGCCTACTTTGTGGCAAGCCTGAACTCGGCAGTAGAAAGCAGGGCATACTCCACATTCCTAAGGAGAGTGTCTGAGAGACAAACTGCTCTGACAGGCGGAAGAAGTAAAGTCTCTCTCTCTCACACACACACACACACACACACAGAAAGTCAGCTCTGAAGAACCCACAGTAACGATGTGTACATGCACGTACTCTCTCAGTGTGTACAGTTATTTTAAAGACTTGAGAGGATCAATGTTCTTGCAGTGTACAGAGGATGTGGGAAACGCCCGTAACAAGCACAGAAGTACTTATATATGACATCACTTTGCCTGACTCACAGCTGGGGGATAGTCACCGCATCAAAATGCCAGGTCGCAGTAAAAAAAAAAATAATAAAACCCCGGCTGGAACAAGATCCGCAAGAAACCGGCCGCCATATTGGATCACTAGACACATTTCATTCGCTGAAGCAACGGGAGCTTTGAGCCAAAATGTCCGCGCAACATGCGCAGTGACATTCGCCCTTTCCGTCGCTCTAAGCCACGCCCCTTCACCCTCTCGATGCACGCCGCGGTAGCCAATAACATTAGGGCGCCTAGCGGAGTGACAGCGATATTGACCAATCAGAGGCGTGGATTCTGACAGAAGGGGCGGGAGGAAGGGCGGGTCTACGGGGCCTTTAGGGTGTCGCCGTGGTGGCTCCCATTCGAAGGCGACGGCGGTCGTCTGTGTTTCTGTCCTGAAATCTGTCCGGATAAAAGCGAAATAAACTCCCGACGGACACTGAACTTTACACACTTTAACGTCTTTGGTTTTTACAACTCGTTCTCGGTCGGGCTTTGTGGACGGGCTCTGGCATGACGGAGTGTGTGTGTGTGTGCCGAGAATTTGAATCAGCTTCGCCGTTAGTTTGAAGAAAGAGAGAGAAGGGCGAAGAAAAACAGATGAGAGAGAGAGAAAGAGAGAGGGAGAGGGGAGCCATTTTGTCCCGACTGTGTGGGAGAAGAGAAAGAGTGGAAAAGAGGATTCACAACGGGAGGAGATCCTATTTTCTTAGCTTTGTGTTGTCGTGCTGTAAAGGTGGGGGGGGCTCTGGAGATATAACCTTACGGACACATCTACGGCGGCTCGGTAGCTCTTTTTGTCGGGTGGTATTTTAGCCAACTAGCTCGCCGAAGCTAATCAACAAATCCCAGATTGTTAACTGTGAACAGCCCAAGAGAAGCGGGGCAGTCGGTCCGGTTGGCCACGGAGCTGGATTTAGACTTCACACAGGAGTGCTTTAGTTGATCTGCTGTGGGGTTATTATTATTTTTTTTTTTTTCTCTCTCTCTCGGGGTTTATCTTCTGGCTGTTTTTCAATGGCGAAGAAGACGTACGACTTGCTGTTCAAGCTGCTTCTGATCGGAGACTCGGGCGTGGGGAAGACCTGTGTGCTGTTCCGCTTCTCCGACGACGCCTTCAACACAACCTTCATCTCCACTATAGGTAAGACACGTTACTGGACGGTGTGTTGTTATGGGGGTCGTAGTCGAGGAGAGGGGGGGCAGTTTCTGACAGCTGGGGGTGACTTCGCCCTGACTCTCCCTGCAGCTGGATGTCGGTAGCTCATATCTGCTTAGCCTGTGTGCTACCAGCGTGCACCAGGCCTAACACACTGCTGCGGCTTCGTTGAGCTGAGAAACTCCTGTTTCAGATGGCCGTGGCTTTAATAATGAATATGATTCACATTTAGGTTTTATCCCTCCAGCAGTGGCAGGTTTGACCGGTTTATGTGCCAGAGGAAATGCTGTCATGTCACTTGACCCAGTGGCTGGTGAGCTAACGAGGCTAGCACTGTGTAAGGGCCGTGCTGCTGTTATAAAAGCAGTAAAAAACAAAACGGACTCCCCCGTATATCTGACAGGCCTTTACATCTAAACACTGTCGTTTATAGCTGTGTGCATGTGTTTCTGCCACGAGTTATACTTTTTTTATTTTTTATTTTTTAAGTAAAATATCTTTGGGTCTTTGTTTAAAATGATACATGCCGCACAAGTAAAGCCCCTCAGAAGCAGTGTTCAGATACTAAATCTGAAAGTAAATAATATAAAAGAACTCAAGTAAAAGTGACTGTAAGTGCAGGAGGATCGTTAATGTACTTCGTGTTAAAAGGAAACGTCCTAATGGTTCAAAATGGCTCGGTTTAGATTTTTAATGCGTATATTTTTGCTGGTCTATTACTGCTACAATAATGTGTAAGCAACATCTTAATGGCCTGTAGCTGGTGGAGGTGGAGCTGTTTAAACTACTTAAGATACTGGCACTTGTCTCAGAATAATGGATCATATTTTGTAAGAAGTTAGTGGTTTGGTATGTGAAATCTGAATCTGCGAAGGAGCTGGTGACTTTAGCTGTAAAATGACTAATGGAGTAAAAAGTACCAGTGGAAGTGCCTCTGACTTGTTTATAACTACCTATGTAAATGTAGGTAGTTACTTTCCACGGCTGCTCCCACAGACAATTCATCATGGTGGCATCATCGGCTTTTTCCCCCCCTCTGACCCTCTACGCATGTGTCCCAACATCACGCTCACATGAGTCAAGTGTCAAACTATGTCAAATCCCTGCACAGCCCGAGTGAAGGCTCCATTTACGCCTGTTGCTTAAGATCGGTGCTTAGTAATAATGTAACATTAGACGTGTTTTGCAGAACCACATGTAGCTGACGGTTTGCAGTGCCCAGGAATTATATCTGTAATCTTTTGATGGAGCTTGAGTTTCAAGCCCTAGCTTTTCGTAACTTTTAAGCGTTGGCTGCTCCTCTTTACTGTGTGTGTAAGAACGAGGCATCCATAATGGGCGACGGTGTTCCCAGTGGCATCCAGGTTAGATTAGATAAGGTACACCAATGAACAATGGCTCTGTTGCAAAACTTGCTGTCCCGTGTGTTTATGTTTATGCCTCGGTTTGCCTTGTAATCCGCCCATAACGTTTGTGTTGTATTATGTATTGTATTGAATGTGAAACTGAGGTACGGTAACAACTGGTGTCTGCCTTATTTGAGTCAAAGCCACTTAATCAGAGCTCTGTTAGTTCAGCCAGTTCGAGGGAAGGCTGTGAGATGATGGACTGACAGGTTCTTCAGCAGTCAGAGACCAGCAGTGACCTTTGTTTCTTGCAGGGGTGCTTTCCCTGCCAACTTGGGTAGCAAGTCGAGTATTTCAATCTAAGCTTTTGCAGCAACTGCAGGTGATATTTTTTCTCTACCTTATTGAAAACCTTAGAATAACCTGTTTCACATGAAGGATAATGTGATTGATCCCGCTGTAGCCATTGTGTAGGTGTCCATATTGTAAACATGCTCTGTTGTTGTCTCATTTATCCCAAAATATGGGGAAACATAGGGCCAACGTTTATATGAATTAACAAGTTATTTTAGGCTTTAAGATGATCAGACACAAGAATGATCATAGTGCTTGAACTGAAACTGTCCACAACAGTCACTGCTCACGTGTGGTGGTCCCACCTCAGTTTCTCTACAACACGACTGGTGGTAAATGAGGATGTACTAAAATGGCACAGACCAAAGTCATTTTATTCATCTTATGTTAAATGTTTTCACTGATTCCCCTTTAAGAGCCGTCTCCTTTTTTAAAAACTACAGCTCTCAGCTCTTCTTTGTTCTACATCTGTATTAAAAACAAAGCAGCATGCAATGTGATAAACTGTAAAAAGTTAAGAATATGGAGAACACGGTCTGTCAGCACATCATTTAATTAGGACTTGTAGTTGTCAAGGACTTCTGATTGTTAATATACAGTAAATATATGAAATTATCCTCATTAGAATAATGTTTTTTTGTATATAACATGTCAGAAGAAAGGTAAACATATTCTATAGGTGACGTCTTCAGATGGTTTGTTTTGTCTGACCAATAGCTCAGAACCCAAAGATAGTTAGTTTACATTAGACAAAGAACCAAGCAGCCAAATAGTCCATGAACTGAGAAAGCTGGAACCAGGTAATATTTCAATGACGTGAACCAATTACAGATGTGATTTGATAAAAATGAACACAAGCCTCTAAGTATGCAACCATCTACTTTTGCTTCTGTTGTTATATGATTGGTGGTTTCTTCTTTTTACCCAGTATTCTGTTGGCTACGATGCTAATCTTCTGGCTTACAGTTGTATTTAAGTTTAGTGGATGCAACAAACTACTTAAGTAAACACATAACACTCCAGGTACAGCCGCTGATGTCTGACAGGAACAGAAGAAACAGCAGAACCAGGACATGTGAAACAGGAGTGTGTTCTTCCTCTGACACAGTGCTCATACCTTTTGGAGACACTTTGCACAGCTGCTTCTCAAAATACCCCCACTGGAAAACCCCCCTCTCTCACCAGTCACTGCTCCTCATTTCCAATCTCTCTCTGCCCTTCCTCCTTCATATATTACAGTTTATGCATATTAAGAGTGCTGAATATGCATGATGTTGCAATCTAAAATCTCTTTCCACAAGACCTCATGAATTGTGCATGGAAACTGGCGATGGCTACAGTGGAATTCATACTTGTGGAAGGAATGGTTCCTCAGGGATTAAAACAAAAGCCGGCCATAAACTACGTACTCCCTTTTTTTTTTTTTTTTTAGATGTCAAATTCAACGTTTGGCTGTCTTTGAAAGTGTCATTATCTTCTGCTAAAGTGCCCATTTTTCCACTGATTGCACAATGCACATATTTTCTTGACAACTTGCCAGTGCACCTCACCAGGAAGAAAAACACACAGATTCACTCAGTGTTTTCACTCCCTGTCAGGAAAAGACAAATATGAAGTCCTCCCCGCTCAGTCTGATTTCTTCAGGACACAACTTTAAGTAATGGTTGTGGAGAATCGCATTATCCCCAATATTTATTTGACACGCCTTTAGCTTCTGTTTGTATCGGCGTCGATGTGAATATCAACTTAGGCGCAGTACGCTGTGTGTCCTCTGCAGAACCTTTTTCATCTCCTTCTCCTTTTTGTTTCTAGCTATAACTATATCTTTCTGTCCCTCCTGCCCTCCCTCTCTCTGGGGAGTGCATATTATTTAGTGAGTCACACATTGGCAGCCAGTCCCTTCATTATTCTATGGGCCTGCCCCACCTAGAGCACAGCTGTTTCTTGGACTTTTTTAACCAACCACAATTTCTGACCAAAGCTGAGCTGACAGCTCACGATTTAACTGGAAAACACCACTTCTTGTCTTGTTTCAGTCACTTCTTTTTAAAACTGGCCTCCCCAAAGGTTTCATGATTATGACAGTGATGATTATCTTGGTTACTCTTTTAAATATTGTGAACACGATTATTCATTAGGATTGTTTGTGTTTTTTTTACTTTTTGCTGCACGTAGAAGCTGTTAAACGTCTACATTTTCTAGACTTGCAAACCGTCTTTGTCCTATATGATAGAACATTTAAGATTTTAGGCTTTTAGACGGTTGGTTGGAAAAAAACAAGCAATTTGAGTGCGTCCCTGGGAAACTGTGATGGGCATATTTTGGTATTCTTGCATTTTAATAGACAAAAAAGATGAATTGTTTCATCAAGAAAAGAATCGGCGGATTAATTCATAATGAAAATAATAGTTAGTGGTACTCCTAGTTTAGTTTGTAAAATTTCAAATGCCAGTGATAAATGGACATCAGAATTTTTAAAACCCAAGGTTACCTATTCAGGCATCTCGTTTTGTGTCACCACACAAAGATATTCAGTTTCTATTGATGTAAAACAGAGAAAAGCAGTAAATAACAATCACATTGTATGAGCTGCAACCAGAGAATATATGGCATTTGTGGATAAACTAGTCAACTCATCATTTCAGCCTCATAATATGTCATTAGCTTGTAGTTTTGCCATACCAGAAATCTTAACTTCTGATCCAGCGTGAGTCAGTTCACCACTAGACCCATCGCCAGAAGTGTTTATTAATTAGCGTGAGCACTTAAAAAGAACAGATTTATAAAGATAACGAGTATAAGATAGAATGAGACAGTTGGCCAACAACGCCTTGATGGCAGTTCACCTCCTGAAAGAAAGCGCAGCAGTGTGTACTTGTATTATAAATAATTAAATCCAAAGCCCAACCAAGATGGAAACTGAAATAAGTCTTCATTGACAAACATGCACACGTAGGAAAAACTGTGTGCTCTCCCACCACAGCCTGTCCTCTCACGCCACCATCAGTCCAAATGCTCCAACCAAAAAAAAACCCTCAAGACTTCAAATATGCATAATGTCATGTTTGTAACGAGCTGCATTTAAGCACCGGTTTATCAGTAACCAGGTTATTGCAGTGCATGTAAACATGTTGTCAGTTTTCTTACCTTAACCTGGTTTGTGTATGTGTGTAAAGCCATTGTTCGCCAGCTGCTGATCCCCACAGCTGTCTGCTGATAGGCTCAAGCTCTGGGCATGACACTGCAGAATCAGGAAGAGATAATGTTATTGTCTCTCTAATGGAAGCACTTGTCACTCACTTTCCATTTCCTCCTTCCCAAATGTCTTTCTTTGGCTCTTTCTGATTCTCTATTGTCGATATCTCGCCTTTCCTCGCTGGGTTTCTATTTCTCTGTTTGCATCAGAACCACAAGTCTCTGTTTGTAAGCCTCAATTTCTCCATTCCTCTCCGTCTCACTGTCAGTGTCTCACATGCTAGTCGTTCATTTATCTTTTGATAGACGTGTAACTCTGATCTGTTTTTCCTTGTTATACAGGAATAGACTTCAAGATCAAAACAGTTGAATTACAAGGAAAGAAGATCAAACTACAGATCTGGTGAGTCAATGTACTGTTTTGAGACGTGACCTTTTTAGTTTGTTGTTTTAGTTTGTTTTTTAGTTTTGTTCTGTAGGTGGAGGAGTACAGGGCTGCAGAATTCACCAACATTGTGAGACTCGTCTTCTCGTTCAGCCTCTTCTGTTTGCGCCTTACATCATAGTGAAACATCTGTTTGACATACCTCCCTCAAGCCCAGAAATATGCTAGAACAGGAAATGGTCATCGGCCCGTCAGGAGGTCTGCTGCAGGGTTATCATTGTCCACAAAAGCGGACTTTCCCCAACTGAAATGACTCGATTTTTAACCTTCTCTTCTGCAGATATGATGAAACATGAATACTGGACTTTGGTTGATTGGAAGGGTTTAATAAGGTTGCAAATAAGGCTCCAACAATTAATCTTCCAAATATTTAGTCCTTTTTATTATAGTATTATATTACTATTTAATAGACCTTTTTTACAGCACCCACTTATAAAATAGTAGGGTAAACACAATGATTCTGATTAAGGCTCCATTACATTTAGTGTAGCAGAGCAGTGAGCCAACTTAACCTTAATTAGTGTCATTGGTAACACCTGTGTTTACCCTACTATTTTATGTCAGAGTGGCTTCTGGGAAAAAGGTCTATTGTTTTATTATTTGGTGTAACTGGATGTGTTGGGTTTTGTCCAAACAGCAGTCCAAAATCCCAAAGATATTCACTTTACTGTTATATAAGACGGACTAAAACAGGAAATATTAAAAAAACAATATTTTAGAGGCTGGAACCAGCAAAGTTTTTTCATATATTTACTTTGTAAAATATCCTAAAGCTGCCTATTAGCAACGTATTTTTGGTGTAAGCTTGCAGGAGGAAACAGGAGTCAAAGGAAAAGGTTTGTTTGGAAAATATCTCCAAAGTTGAGATTGAATGATTCTCAGTTAGTTGTGTTTTTATCATTTATTCAAGCTGCAGTGTGTGCGTCAATACACTGAAGCTGTGAATGAAATACACATATATTTATAGTACTGAATACTAGTCACGTTTATCAAGATGCAGTGAACGTTTCAGCAGACAGATGTGTTCATTTAAGGCTCATTGTTCAGGCTAATTGATTAATCATTCATTTCTATCCAAAAATGCCCGACAAAATGAGCCGATTTCTCAAATGTGAATATTTGCTGATTTGTCTGGATTTTGGACTGTTTGTTAGACAAAACAGTTTTTAAATTTATATGTCAACTTGGGCTCTGGGAAATTGTAATGGGCACTTTGGACTGTTTTCGGATAAATAATTAAATGATAAAATAATCGAGGAATATAATCACTGCAACCCATGATGTGTTGTCAAAGGTTAAAGGCATTATGGGGAGTTTTAACAAACTGTGACACAGTGTTTGTCTTGGTATGTTTTCATCTCTGTAACCTCAGAGAAAGCACAGGAAGGACACATTAGAAATATGTCAAAAATGTTCCAGTCTTTTGATATTGGAGAAGTGCCTGACTATCATGGTTCTGTAATTCTCTGTAAGTTTGTAAAAGTTATAATAAATGCTCTTCTCTAAAAATCTCTAACTTCTGTAACTTGTACATATTAAAAAATTCTAAAGGGACGTGTCTAACTAAATCTAAATGGCAAAATAAAAGGATTGTCCAGCTCATGTGAAACTCATAATGATTTAGATCTGAAACTTGATCACACTTGGCCCGATACTGTCCATTAAACCTCTTCAGTGGCTCTATTTCAGTCTCAGTCCCCATCACATTCTCTCCTCTTCCTGTCCCAGCACATCATGTCTGGACTTAATCTTCACTACACAGCCTGGGCACCCAGAGATGTGGTCATGCTCACCAGACTCAACAAAATCTAACTTTTGCACAGCCAGCTATCATTTTAAATGTCATAGTGAAACGACTATTGTAGGAGTAGGTTTGATTTGCTCATGTGAGCCTGGGGCTGCTGGGCTCTTCTCTTTTTTTTTCCTGTATCAGCAGTAGATAGATGTTGGCAGGGTTTCCCCAGATAAGAAAATGTCATAGTTAAGATGCATGCTAGTGCAGACGTGTGAGGGGACATGGTTCGTGTGTGTGTGTGTGTCTCTGTGTGTGTCTCTGTGTGTGGTTCAACTCGACTTGTACTGCTTACCAGGTTCCTCAGGTATTGTAAAAGTTTAAAAATAAAGTAGTTCCTCTGTGTGAGATGAGTTTGGGATGATTGGATGCTTTTTCAGCTCTGAGTTATTATTGCGCTAATGGCGCATTAAATATTTTAAGGCTTTTTATCGGCCTCTTTTGGTGATTAAAGGAATTACATTACAATGTCTGACAGATCTCTGACACACCCTTTCATGATGTGTTGCTGATATGTGTTGTGGTTTGCAGTCATGGGAGTGGGAAATCTCTGCATCTTGTGAAGTAATTGTTGAGTCACTGAGGGATATAATACAAGAAAGCAGTGAATACAATATAATGTGTGTGTGTGTGTGTGTGTGTAGGGACACAGCGGGCCAGGAACGGTTCCACACCATCACCACCTCCTACTACAGAGGAGCCATGGGCATCATGCTGGTCTACGACATCACCAATGCCAAGAGCTTCGAAAACATCAGCAAATGGCTGCGCAACATTGACGAGGTACAACACTAACACTCTCTCTCTCTCTCTCCATATCATGATGTGTATTTACGTTGCTGGGTGAAATCTTATCAGGGTTTTTTTTTTGTGGTTTTGGAGAGTTAAGTGTTGGCACTCCTTTTTTATTGTTACCTCTTTGGCAGAGTGACTTACGTCCTTGCTAACCAGCTGGTTGATCCGTGTTCAGTGAGCGGTGTAGCAGCTTGTGTCTCAGCCTGTGAGATGAGCCAGATGTCTGTATACATCTGTAGGAGAACCAGGGTTCCTTGAATACCAGTGGGACCAGAAGTTAAACACCAGACGATGACAAAGACATGACTCTGTTTGAAACTGGGTTTCAGCAGGAAGGGGAGGTGTGTCTGGAATAACAGCTACTACACTCAATAGGTGTGACAGCTAATTGCCCAGTAACAGTAATTATGTTAATGGCCTAGACAATGTTGATGTGTCAGATTACACATCAACACACTGACAGCATTATATAAACAATCTTAGTTCTTCATAACATTAACCAGGAAGATTATATATCTACGTATACCAAATTATTGTTTACAGACAGCAGGAAGTACAAATTATATATCTCCATATTCCAGTGTTGTTGCATACTGTCCACAAATGGTCTTTCTTTTCATGTGGTGTGTCCACCTTAAGTCCAAAATGTTTCATCTCCATATTTAACATAATACAGGAATGAGTCACTTGCTTACTCTCAAAGTGTTCTGTGTTTTGTATATATAAACAGCATATTTAAGTCAATGTGAAAATGAGGTTACACAGTCTGTGAGTACTGTATGAGGATCTCTGAGGACCAGTGTGTCCTTCTGTGATTTGTCATAATGGATATAAGGCCATAAGGGCAATGATGTTTAGCCCAATGCAGACAGTATCCAGTGACATTGGTTTCCAAGCCTGATATTTCAACATGATTAGCTGATTATCAGATAAATAAGACAAGCTGTCTGTAACATATGATTTGTCCTGCTGCTCACCCCTGTTCTTTTGTTTTGTACCTTTACAGTGGCTTTTATATTATTGTCACTATTTACCTCAGTAGTGATTATTCTGTTATTTGAGTAATCTTCTGGGATCCATTCTAGATCCTGGGTGCAACAATACTTAATGGTATTACAACACATGATCGGTATAAAGGTGTTGCGCATTAAATGAAGCGGATTGGGCGAGACGGCGAGGAATTTATTGCAGTTTTTCTCACCCTCGCTTTTAAAGAACTTTAAGTCCGGTCAAGGAAAGGAAACACAATGCATTTCCTGCTAACTAAGAACGTGGCCTTGCTCTTGTTGCACTTTAATGTGTGAAACCTTGTTATTGCCTCCTGGGAAAGCTAATAGGATGCAGAGGTTTCTGCTACTTGGAGAGTAATATGAATACAGTTGAGATCAGTGGTTCCCAACCTTTTTTGACTTGTAACCCCTTTAGAAAAAAAGTGTTATCTACTTGCCTTTTGACCAAAGAGTGTTTTTTGTTTTATTGTAGAGCTGCAACGATTAGTCAGCCAGCAGAAAATAAACTATTTTGATCATCATTTTGACTTAAAATGTGTCTCAATAGCTCCTCAAATGTCAAGATTTAAGTCAGTTAATCAATTGAGCAATTATTTCTACAGTATATTATTATTTCTTAAGCAAAAATGCCCAAATTCTCTTATATTTTTGTTTTATATCATTCAAGATTGATGGGGCATTTTTCACTGTTGTCTCACATTTTGTCGATTGATCATGATAGAAGTTGTTAAATAGATTGATAATAAAAACAAAAAACTATCCAGCAGATAATGATAATGATGATAATAGTAATAATAATAATAATACATGTTTTAGAAGTCTAAAACATTATATTGTGTAATATAAATATGCTTTTAATCATATTTTGACCATTCAGATTTCCCCTTGAGGGTCTTGTGGGACAGATCTATTGGTTGGCTTGTGGTATCTTGTCCACATTGCAACAGTGATATTGAAATCCAAGATGAAGCTGCGTTTAATGTCGCTCATATGAAAAAGTAATCTAATCATCAAACTCTTCTTTATCTTTTTCAGCATGCAAATGAGGACGTCGAAAGGATGCTGCTAGGCAACAAGTGTGACATGGAGGACAAGAGGGTCGTACCAAAAGCCAAGGGGGAGCAGGTGAGATGGTGCAGTCCACTGCAGCTATAAGCAACCGTCCGTCATCAGGGTCCTGCGTGTTGATTGGCTGATTTACTACTGCCACTCAGTTCATAGACCTGAATCTAGAAACACTTCTGTTCATTTAGTCCCCTGATCACATTTCAGTCCCATCTTCACTTGGACTGTTTGCCATGGACTCATTCTACACTGGAGGTAGCAGAAAAACAGCAGAGAATCTCCCAATGTCTGTCGCATAATTTTATAGAGAGTGGGGTAAAAACAAGGTATTAGAACTAGTAAAAATGTGTCTGGAAGCTTCTTGAATTTACTTAAACTATAAACTAAAACAGTGTTAGTTATAGAACGTGCAGTAAGCTGCTGTTTGTCTTTGCATGCCATAAAGGCTTACTTCTACTATAACAACTCAGTGACTGCTCAAACAACCGTTTATTGGGACATAAGCCATCTCAAAAATAACAAAGGAAGCTTTTATATTCTATATTTTGAACTCCATTTTATACATTGCATATGCAAGGTTTCTCTCTAAAACGTAGCTGCTGCAGTGTGAAAGCTCAGAATATTTTGTTTTTAAAAATAAATGATTGAATTGAATTTGCTACAGTAAGAATCTTACTGTAAATGTTTGTTTACTTAATGAATATGGGTCTCCAGACAAATTCCAGACCTGCTTTGGGGTTATCACTGGCCACATTTAAGTTCCCTCCCTGTGTATTGAACTCGCTGCTCAACTGTGTGATTATTTCTGATTTGCTGAAGAGCTGATAACAAAAATATTTTGGGTCAACTTGCCTCAGAAATTCTCACATGTTCTCTTGGGGGTTTAAAACTCGCTGCATTCACGCTCAAACAAAATACTGCATTGTTTACGAGTATGAAAAATGGATAAATTGGTGTAACTGAGATATTGTTGCAGCTTGCGTTGGGTGTTTATACCTGAAATAAAAGCGATGGCTTTGTTGTCAGGACATAATCTTTACAGACCATAATTCAAACTGTATATAGGCAGTAAAAGGCAGTGTAATTTGTGGTGAATGGGTCTGGTTGTGCAGTAACGGTTGCAGGAGAACAATAAAACAACTGCACCTCCTGCAGCGCTGCTTACACAGCACGGTGACTGCTTGATCTGAGAGTTCATAAAAACCACAACATGTCCATATCACCGAGGAGATACGGTTTCCTTTTTTATAAACAATCTTGTCAGCAGTGCTCACTTCAAACTGCGTCTGAGTAAAGACTGACGACTACGCTACTAAAAATATAAGACCACTACTGTGGGCTTATACACGCCAATGGTCATTTCACAGTGTGTACCAGATAGTGAGTAGACGTTGAAATGTCAGGACACATTGAGTTTCTAGACACACGCTTGTACCTTCTCATTATTCTTGTGAAGTACGCTAAACAAAGCCTGAAGGTATGCAAGAAACTAGTGAGGTTGTGCCATTTTAAAAAGCAGGATTTGTCATTAAAATGTAAATCACTCATACAAAATATAGTCCTATGACAACCCAAGATGGCGTCACATACCAGTACAATGTCTGTGGTGTGAATTTACACAAACATGCAACATGTCTGACACAAAATGGGGTCTACAGATCCAGGTTTCAGCACCAGGATTCAAATTTCCAAAGACTAAAGAGAAGCATGTGATCCCTGCTGTTTGAGACAGTCGGTCTGAATTCAATGTCAAATGTGCCAGATCTCTGAAGTATTTTAGCAGGATTTCCTTCCTTTACTCTCATGTGATTGCACTGTTTCTTTGAGGGGAGGGACCGGGCGACTCCTGCATCTGGTGACGCCGCTCACTCTACACGCCCTCTGTTAGTATATCGAGTTTCGTCACTTGATGAAATCTCCAGGATATATTTCAGCCCGAGCAGAGATCGAATGAATCCAGTGAAAACATCTGTTTTGGGTCTGCAGAGCCTTTTAAGAGCTCCTGCTCATTGTACCAGTGGAAACTAGCAGCGACTAGTCCGTCTGCAGATTTAGCAACATCAGATACAGATCTGCTTACTCATACACACACCTACCTGACCTGAATGGAAGTGTGTGTGTGTGTGTGTGTGCTTGAGATGGTAACGCCAGTGATACCTGATCTCTGTTCTGCACAGAGGATCAGCCACTTTATTTTTGGACGAGACCTTCTTTCATCGTTCTAACTCGCCCTGTTTTCTTCTCCACAGATTGCGAGGGAGCACGGCATTAGGTTTTTTGAAACGAGTGCTAAGGCCAACATCAACATCGAGAAGGCTTTCCTCACGTTAGCAGAAGACATCCTGAGAAAGGTGTGTGTGTGTGCTTTGAACATCTGTGTGATATAGTGTGTGTTCAGTACAGTATTTGTACCACTTTTACAGAACCAACATGAATACTTTTATTTGACTGGTTGATATTTGCTGGAATTGCGGAATTACAGGAACATCAGTTTTTTTTATAGTGGTATTATTAATATAGTTTATTTGTATTTATTATATTAGAATAATATATTATTTATAATATATTCAATGACATTCTTCCCACTTTAAATGGATAAACAAGTTCCTGAGGTGGTGTAGCCACTGCTGTTATTAACCTTAAACATCTACAACTATTACATTTTTTCAATACATTTTATTTGTATAGCGTCAAATAACAGATAACAGAAGGACTTTTTGAACAGAGCAGATCTAGACGGTACTACTTAAAAAAATTATTGACAGAGACCCGAACAGTTCCCGCCACGAGCAAGCACTCGGTGTCAGTGGCAAGGAAATACGTCCTTTTAATGGTTCAACATTGTAGCCTTTTAAATGTTTAAAAGTAAAGTTTCCTTTGAAGATAGAGCAGACGGTGTCCTCTTACAACAGTTAGCAAAGCTTTCTTCCTAAAGTCAATGAAATATAGTCCATTTAAAAAATGTTAAAGCATCGGCACACGTCCGTATTGCAAACATCCAATTGTTTTCCATTCCACTGTGGCATCTTTAACGGCCCTGCACTGCTTAAATGTGACACTCAGACAGTCAATTAAACTGGAACACAGTCTCAGTACACCTGAGGGGAATTCTCTTGTGTTTAATGAGATGTTTTTTGTCTTTTTCTTCCGTCTGCGTTTGTGTTTTCTGCGACAGACGCCTGTAAAAGAGCCCAACAGTGAAAACGTCGACATCAGCAGTGGAAGTGGAGTCACAGGCTGGAAGAGCAAGTGCTGCAGTTGAACAACTCCTCTTGTTTCACTCACACTAACGCACACAGACACACACAGACACACATACAAACACATATTCTCTCTCTCTCTCTCTAAATGCTAACTCTAACTCTCTCGCTCTCTAACCTGTCTCATGAGTTTTCTTGCACACTGACACTCTCTGTCTGTCTCTTTATCAGAGTAAAACAATAAACCACTTCACGTGTCTAATCCCCCCTCCTCCCCCCCACCCCACCCCACCATATTCTTCCACTCTCCATCTGATGATCATTTTTATTTCTGATAAAAAGAGAAATCCAGTCACGTTTCTTGTCATTTGTTTTAAAAGTTGTAAAAAAAAGATTTAAAAAAAATGAGAAAAGACAAGCTCATATTTTTAATATTTCCTTTGCCTGAGCTCACCTGGTTGGACACCCTCACCTACCCTTAACTCCCCCCCTTCCCCACTTTCCCCACTCACCCACAGCACTCACCTTCAGTCAGAGGAAATCAAAATAAAAGAGAAAATCAAACAAAAAATGACAAATGTAGGATTAACATTTTGTACACTTAGTGGGGTTTCTGTTGTCTAACCGTATTTGGTCATTTACAATTTGTTACCAAGTGACAGAGGCGTGGCTAGCTCCTTTTGTATGTGGGGGTTTATTTTGTCCTGTGCCTTATATGGAAGACAGGGGCGGGGCTGTGTGGTGGGCGGAGCCACATCCACCCAATGAAATTACAGTTTAATATTCTGTTGGTTCAGGCTCTCATCACGAGGAAGCCGAACTTGAAGCAGACGCGTTTGAATTTCTCCTCCAGCCAAGAGAACGGCATTATACAGTATGTCCTGTTTATTGATGTTTTATTTTTATCTGTATGATTTATTTTACTTTTGTTTTATTTCTTTTTCCTTATTTGGGTTGATTTTTTTTTTTTTGATTTTTTTTTTTTTTGTTCCTGCATGCAGATTTCTTTGGGTTGGAAGCGTTTCTGTAACGTTGTGTAACGTTTGCCACTGGGTAACTGTGGGCGGGAGGTACAGAAGTTCTCTTTGGAAATTCAAACAGTTTTGCAGATCCATTAAAAATAAGCTTGTTTAAGTTAACTTGTTTGTCCTCAATGATGTACTGTGTTGTAGTTTCATGTCTCCTTTCATGTCAGATCTTATAAACTGTCCCGTGTTTCCATCAGCTTCACATCGACTAGATTTCTAACATGGAAAGACCTGAAGAGGAGGCCAAGAAAAGCTAAAAAGTGTGATCCTGGGCTCAGTTTTAGACACTTCCTACCTTGTATGAACACCAACTCTTGACTTCAGAGCTTAGTTATATTAATGAAGGCCTTTCCTCTACTTGACTCTATTTCAGAGCATGTTGGAAGCTGGTGGAGCCTCTTTATTTCAGCCTTAGTCCTCCTCTTGTAAGTCAGTGCGAGGAATCTTAGTGAGAGTTCGGTCACGCTCACAAATATTTGCTCAGTCTCTCATTTGACTTACAAATTAAAGAATGTGTGTCCGATTTGTGGTGTGATGTAAGGCGTACTCCTGCCGATATTCAGCTCAAAGTTCACATTTGTTGACATGTTTGACCTGCAGAGTAGACTGACTCATGTCCAGCGATTAAGTCTTTCTCCCAGCAGACATTTTGACTCGTCATAGGTGGAGAAGCAGATGTAACGTTAATGATTAAGTGTCTGAGTGAGCCATAGCTCATAGTGCTGTAGAATGCAGCCTGTATTAATGTCATTAATTACAACTGTGCTTGTCCGGCCTGATAATTGGACTGAAATGCCTTTTTGTTTAGTTATGTAAAGCGTGCTGCGACGCTGGCCGTTACTACACAGGCCGAGTTAGTCCCCGCAGCTCGGGCTTTCATCACTGGCAGCATTATTTCCCTGATTTGTGCCACATCATGAGTGAAGTTCTCCTCACTAAACTTCATTTGACTACGGAGTCTGTTGTCAGTGATACAGTGGAAACTGAGAAAGTTATTGATACGGTGAAAATGGGATCAGCAGTGTGGACAGCCACTGATATAAACTATAAACAATGTTTTCAGACAAAATGTTTGTTTTGTTTTAAATTTAGAGTTTAGGGTAGGATTAACAGCTGATTGAAGGCAAACTATAAGAAAAAAGTCCCATGACAGGAACTGTGCTGTGCTGTTAAGGCAAAAATCAACTGCATGTCCAACAAATTCTGCCTCAGGAAATAAGACTTTTCTGTACTTTAACAATAGAAAAAAAATGAAATAATTTCCTCCAGATTTGCGTGCAGACTAAATCCCTTCATGTCTGATTGTGGTATTGGATGCTTAAGTTCTGCTGTTGCATTTCACAGCTGGAATAAAGGAGCTACTTCAGGCTGGAGAAGAAGAAAAAACAAATATGTGGATAATGGGATAATAATGGAAAATGTCTGTTTATTATTTGCTAAAAGGGTCTTTGGCACTGGGACACCAGAGTGTGGAGGTGTCCATTATAGGTCTCAGTTGTCTGGCGCCCTCTGGTGGCGGCAGCTTTAAACTCATCACACCAGACTCATTTATATCTGACTGACGAGATTAAACTGTGCTGTCGAATCTATCTGCAGTAGGCCACTTACTTTATTTCCATAATTGCTTTTATCTGTATGGAGATTTTATTACTGCGGATGTTTGAATTATATCATTAAGTTGCTAATTACAGTATAAGAGAGAGAGTCCTTTATTAAACAGCCCTTTTACATGGAACAAATGTAAATATTATATGGTAACTATGTAGTGGAAATGGGACATTTAAAGGTTAACTAAGGCTCTCTGCATCCCAGTTTATTTAATACCAGAGCTTCTAAACATACTGATATATCAACATTTGACTGCAATGATTAAACCCACCAGATTAAATTCAACTGCACAAGTAAACACACTAATGAAATGTAATGCTGCCTTTTATTAACTATTGTAAATGTTTTATTTAACAAGTATGTTAATTATTTAGAGACAGGACAGTCTGGTATGTTCTAAATGATGTTTGTTTTGTTCAACTTTTAGGTTTCAGCTCCAAAATATGTAAACACTGCACTTATAGATATTTAGTGTTACTTTACCTTTTACCTGACAAAACCCTAATTGAGTGTTAAATGGTTTGTCAATGAATCAATCAAAACAAAACAGTTTGACAGAAAACTGAAATTATGAATCTTCCCAGCTTTTCATTTGAGGGTTTTCTGCTTTATATAATATATATTTGGATTTTGGTTTAACAAAAAAAAGACATTTAAAGATCATCTTGGGCTTCAGTGAACTGCGTGGGCATTATTCGGCAGATTAATTGATACTGAAAATAACTGTTCTTCAGCTCTAATCTAAATCACCAGTCCAGTAGTTTCCTATCTGATGATGATATAAAAAGTTGGTGTGCAAGTGAAACGTTTTGTTCTTTACATTCTTTATTTATCACCCTCTTCCCTGTACCCAACCTCCCAGAGCAACAATGTACACAAAAATAAAATTCTCTCACTTACAATGAAAACACAAAACCAGTGCAGGATGCCAGTGGTCACCATTAAGTCCATAACTACATTCAGAGATCTTTTCCTAAACACAAAGTAAAGTACAGCGGGTTACAAAATCAGCAAGATCTGTGACGGAGAGCAGTTCTCTCCACCATCGTGAGTCCATCAATCCAGTTCTTCTTCACAATCAGCACAGAAGCACGAAACAAATGACAGGAAATAAGAAAAACCACTTAAGGAACTGGGCTGTTAAGCTTTAAGCCTCTCCCAGATCAGACACAATGTAGTGTACTATAGATGATGTGGTTAGGTACCTAAAAGCAGAGGCAATTCTGGTTCATAGTGAGATAACGCCACAAAATGTCATGGTCATGTGATCATTAACTTGGGTAACTGCAAACAAATAGTAAAAACCCAACTATTTAGTGCTTTGGTTGAGAGACGAGCATGAAGTCTGCAGCTATACAAAAAGAATGAACTGTATTCAGTCCTGTGGATTAGTGTCGTAGGTGTTTTGGGGGTATGAGAGACAGAAAAGCACACGACATATTGACAGGAGGCAGCAGCAGGGGACACTGACGAGGGCCTGCCCTAAAGGAAAAAATAAATCAGCTGACAGGGAAGAGAAAAATATTTACATCAACTGTATACAACTTAATTTATAAATACATTTTAGGTATAAATTAGAAAAATAAAACAACAACCTACTGTAGTTCAATCAGCTACTGCTACTCTCATTTTAAACTGCCAGTCTGATTATTAACCCTCTTTATATTTGGTGAAAGATAACAAAAAAGGCACAGCAATGAATAATTAGAGCAATTTATCCCTGCAAATTTCTACGAGTCACTAAATCCCATTGCAACAGACATTAAAATATAAATTAAGACGATTTTTTTTTTTTTTTTTTAACCAATAAATGTAATTCCAACAACAAAAATTCCCACACTCAAACAGCATCTACACTAGAATCACCAGTTACAATTTTCTTAAATAAGTTAAGGCTTTAAGGGGGTTTGCGATAAGTCGTCAAAGAGAGCACCCTGATTTAGTTTTTCTGCTTTCTGTTCTTTCAGGCAGCAAACGGTAAAGGAATAGTTCCACATTTTGAGGAGGAAAACTAAAATCTCATTTGCTTTCTTGCAGAGAGTTCGAGGATTCGACTCTCTCAGGTCTGTAGGTAACAAAATCCAGCTGCCAGCACCTCTGAAGCTCACCGATTAACATGCTGTATCCGTACAATGAGTGTAAAGAAACACCTCCTTTCACGAGGCGCTATGATCTGGACTACTTCTTGACTGAGGCGTGTCGTCGTCAGCGTGAGGTTGCCAGGCAGCCAGCAATTACTTGTTACCTAGTGAGCGTTAAAGGTACTAGTAGGCGGGTTGTTACCTTCGGCCATGGACGAGCTACAATCCAGCCTTCCTGTCAAGAAAGCGAATGAGTGCGTTTTCTCCCCAGAATGCCGAACAACATCTGTAACTTGTAGTGTGAACATCTGGTTCCTAAATCAAAGTCTGTTAGTGTGACTGTGTGCTGCAGTGTTCTGACAAACACTTTCCTGTGCTCGAGGATTTAAATGTTGTACCGTCGCAATCCCCTTCACACACACACACAACACACACACAACACCCACACACCACTCACACAACCGTTATCGTACAAGCGGCTCAACTCGGCAGGTCGCTACATCGCCTAGACCACGGTCTCGGCCCTGGGTACGCCGCTGAGCTTACTGGCGGCTCCTGCGCCGGGCCCTCGCCGTCCGCCTCGTCCCCGTTGTAACTCTCGTACTCGATGGGTTTGGGGCAGCTGTACGGGTGGCCGTTGTCGTCGAAGAAGCGGCGGAAGGTGAACTCGTAAAAGGCGTGCTCGGGGTGTTTGCCGTTGCGGAACCAGCAGTTGAGGGTGTCGTTGAGGTTGTCCTCGCCGTCGCTGTCGCTGCTCCACAGTTTGTCCGGGTCCACGGGGTCGAAGTTGGAGGTGTCCGTGGAGTGTGCGATGGTGGGGATGTAGGGCGCCACCTGCTGCCGCTGGTCGCTGGAGAAGTCGATGGTCTTGAAGAAAGGATGAGCTTTGATCTCGTCCGCTCCGTTCTTGCCGAGGCGGTCCTCGGGGCCGCGGCACAATTTGACTATGAGATCCGACGCCTCGGGGCTGAGCTTGGCTTGCGGGGGAATGTGCAGCATGCTCTTCCAGTTTATCACCTGATTTCAACAGAAGAGAAAACATTAACAAACAATGAGCTCCGCAGATGCAAAATATTTCACTGCAGGTGCTTCACATACCTTCAGCTGCGTCTCCAGGGGTGTGGTCGCCAAGAAAGGAGGCTGCCCAACAACCATCTCATACAAGATCACACCAACGCTCCACCAATCACAGAGCTGGGTGTAACCTGGAGAAGATTAGAGACATCAATCACACTGCAACAACAACTCTGGAAAGTTTACAGTCAGTTTTTAAATGAAGAAGTGTGTTAGCTTTTGGTGCTCCGTTTCTTTTTCAGGTTTCAGTTCAAAGCGCAAATACAGACCGCTGGCAGCAGCCTCCACATTAAATACAGTTTATTAGAAATCCATGGCCTTTATTATCATACATAAAAAGGTTTCCAGTTTCCAACATTCATTAATTGATAATATAAATAATACTAAGACTGCTCTTCTGTAGACTTTTACTATCAATGCTACTGATTAAAAAAAGTACAATATAAGTGAAACATATACTGTAGTTGTGGTCCACAGTACCTGTTCGGAGCAGTACTTCTGGTGCTATGTAGTTGGGCGTCCCCACCAGTGAATGTGCCAAACAGCGCTGGTGCTGCCGGGCCTTCCTCCTCTCCAGAGGCTTCAGACGGTCCGTACAGCGGCAGTTGGCTGGGTCTTCCCATTCCTTACTGAAGTCCATGCTGTCCTGCCTCACATGGTCCCCTGGAAAGAGACCGACAGCAAAGCTCATTATTACTTTGTTCATTATTATTCAGCTGTGGTTTTATGAATGAAAATAGCAGGTGTACATTTAAAATTATATATGACTTCTTCAAAGCCAGGTATTTGAGCAACTAGCAACTTTATAACAGCAAGTTGACGACATTAAATGACTTGTAAACTTTTTGAACATGGCCTTCATCAATTTAGTACAAACCATAAAACAGTATCAGTATTTCTATTATTATATTATTATTATATTATTATTATAAGGATAATCCAAGTGCTAAAAACATTAGTTAATCTGATAGTCGACTACTTCAATGTAACTGGACGCAAATTCACCCAAATATAACTCAAAATAAGTAATTTAGTTTAATTAATTTATTATTAAACTATTAATTAATAGTTTAATTAATAAAGAAAAGAACTGGGAAACGTATTAATAATGGAAATGGTCGTTAATAGCAGCCATTTGTTTGAGCTAATGGCTTTTATTTGAGTATGTACTGTCGAGAAGAGACCCACCACTCTGGTAATACTTGGAGTCGTGTGTCCAGCGGAAGCCGGTGCAAAGGCCGAAGTCGGTGAGCTTTATGTGTCCGTCTCGGTCTATGAGGATGTTATCGGGCTTGATGTCTCGGTGGATGAAGCCCATCTTGTGGACGCTCTCCACAGCACAGGTGAGCTCCGCGATGTAGAACTGGGCCAGCTCTTCTTTGAAGATGCCGAGCCGGATGAGAAGGCTCATCATGTCCCCTCCAGGGATGTACTCCATGACAAAGTACAGGTTGTCCTTGTCTTGGAAAGAGTAGTAGAGACGCACCACCCACTCGTTGTCGGCCTCAGCCAGGATGTCCCTCTCAGCCTTGACGTGGGCCACTTGGTTTCGTAGCAGCACGTCCTTCTTACGGAGCGTTTTCATGGCGTACAGCGCTCCCGTGTCCTCCTTCCTGGCCAAGCACACCTCTCCGAAGGCTCCGATGCCGAGGGTCTTGATGCGTTTGAACATGGATTTATCCATCTTGGCCCGCTTCAGGCGGATGTAGTTGGACTCTTTCTGACAGAGCATCATACGCATCTGCTCCTGAGCTTCTGAAGACAAACCCACCTGAGCACAGAACAGAGTGAGGAGTGATTTAATGTTAAAATGGCTCCAAATAAACACACACACACACACACACACACACACGTAGTCCTGGTTAAATATAAACTGGCATTCAAGGGAATCAGCCGAAGGAAACCAGTGCAAAATGCATTTTAAATGATCTATAAATGCAAACAGTCTTTATTGTGTTATCAACACTTGAGTCCAGAACACAAATGCTCGAGCAGTGAGGTGGACTTTGAGTGACATGCATTCCCTTCAGCCACAACATGCTGCATGAAGTCCATTTAACACACTACAGACTCAACACAAGCTTACTTAAACAAACTGATGGGTGTGGACAACTGTGTGTGTCATGACTGCAGAGATACCTTTACCTTTTCAGGTCAGCTGTTAGTGACAGCGAGGAGAGAAAGGAAGAGAAAGAACAGCTAAGAACAAAGAATTAAACAGCATGAAAAACATCTGAGAGGCGGATAATACAGCGACGACGAGAAGAGAACAAAGTTCAGAAAGAGCGACAGGATTTCTTTAAAGAGTGAAATAGGTTTGTGTAGAACTTGTGTGAAGGTTGTGGATGTTCTCACCCTTTGCATCTCGCTTTCCAGCTGCTTCCTCCTCCGAATCCTCATCTGGTGGTTCTTCAGGATGTTCTCCACGTGTTGCTCCATGAAGAACTTGAAGGCCTGGGGGGAGTACAGAGCGACTCTTCCGGACTCCCCTCGCCGCTCTTCGTCTCTCTTGTTCCGGCGGACAGGAACAGGCGACGTCGTGATTTGCTTCTTCTCTTTCTCTGTCGCCGCGGCGCTTTCGGCCGTTTCTGTCGTCTTCTCTCGGGAACCGTCGCCGCCGCCGCCGCT